TTAACGGGATGAGCTTCAACAGGGCCAAGTGCCAGGTCCTGCGCTTGGGCCACAACCCCCTGCATGGCTACAGGCTTGGGGAGGAGTGGCTGGAGCTGTCTGGAAGAAAAGGGTCAGGGGGTTCTAACTGACAAGCAGCTGACCATGAGCCAGCAGTGTGCCCGGGTGGCCAAGCAAGCCAATGGCATCCTGGCTTGTATCAGCAATAGTGTGACCAGCAGAAGGAGGGAGGTGACAGTCCCCCTGTGCTCTGCACTGGTGAGGCCACACCTTGAGCATTGTGTCCAGTTTGGGTCACCTCAGTAGGAGACAGATCTTGAGGTGCTGGAGCGAGTGCAGAGGAGGGCAACGAGGCTGGGAAGGGCCTGGAGAATAAACCCTGTGAGGAGAGATTGAAGGAGCTGGGACTGTTCAGTGTGAGGAAGAGAAGGCTGGGGGGAGACCTCATCACTCTCTACAGCTCCCTGAAAGGACATTGCAGAGAGGCTGGGGCTGGGCTCTTCTCACAGGGGATTGGCGATAGAACAAGAGGGAATGGCTTTAAACTGCAACAGGGGAGGGTCAGACTGGACATTAGGAAAACAATTTTCACAGAAAGAGTGGTCAGAGAGTGGAACAGGCTGCCCAGGGAGGGGGTGGGGGAGGCACCATCCCTGGGTGTGTTTAAGGGTTGTTTAGATGAGCTGTTGGGGGATGTGGGGTAGGGGAGAACTTTGTAGAGTCGGGCTGAGGGTTAGACTCAGTGATACTGAGGGTCTTTTCCAACCTGGATGATTCTGTGACTCTGTAATCCAGCCCAACCATGAACCTCACACCGACCATTCCCAACTCCACCAGATCCCTCAGCGCTGGGTCAACACAAAAATGCCCAAGCACAGCCTGGCGTGACACGGGGCATTGTTTGGTGGGGACAAGCTGGCAGTCCCCAGGCTCCCCGGTGACACTCCAGCGGTTGTGGTGTCCCCATACACAGCTGAGCACCTTTGGCCCTGGCACTGTGCAGGGCTGGGGTGGCCCCGGGGATGAAGGGCAGCCCGGTGCTGCCGTCACTCCGGGAAAATCCGGCACTTGTTTACGGGTAGGCAGCAGACCTTGCCCTGAGCTCCTGTCACTCATTACCAGCCCCCAGCACGGTGCAGGGCACCAAGGCCATGGCGGCACCGCTGCAGCAGAGGGGACGGGCCTTTGGCAGCATCGCTGGTGCTGGGCGGGACCCGGGGCAGCCGGCAGAACTGGGGGGGTCTTCCCAGCCAGACATGTGGGGCTTCCAGCGCGGTCCCCGAGTGCCCTGGGGGAGCAGGATGTGGCAGGGGGGTTTGGTCCCTGTGGGGCTGGGACCCGCCCCGCTCCCTGCAGCCTCACCGTGCTTCACCCCCTGCCAGGTCAGCATCTGACTCCATCCTGGGGACCACCAAGCACCTCCAGTGCCTGAACCCCGGTAGGATGAGGGGGTGGGGGGGGCCCTCCAAGCATCTTCCTGCCCTCATTCGGGCTCCCTTGCCAGGGCTCCCCTCACTGCACCCCACTCGCCAGCTGCTCCCATGTGACCCCCTGGCCGGGTCCCCAGCAAGTCCCTGGATGGCACCTGCCAGCTCCTATGTGGAGCAGCAGCTCAACACAAACACAGAGGCTGTGGAAAGGAAATGTCCCCAGGGCTGTCCCCAAAGGGCTCAGCCAGGGCCACACAGACTCGGCCTGGCTCTGCTGCTGTGGCACGTCCCCCAGGACTGCTGGTGGCCCACCACACTCTGCACCAGCCACCCGGCCACTTCCACAAGGCCACGTGTGTGTCCCGCACCTCAGTGGAGGGTCCGAGGTCTCCTGATGCCTGGAAGACCCTGGCAGTGAGCAACACCCTTGGAGAAGTCTGAGATCCTCAAATCTTTCCCCGTTTGATGTGGGGGAGGGGGAGGTGATGCCAGGACACTTGGGCACGTGGCGGCTCTGCCACGGCTCCGCAGCCCCTGGCTTTCGAGTGTCCTCCCCCTCCAGAAAGAAAAATGCCACAAACAACCACCAGCAGAAACCAGCTGCTTTTTAATAGCTTCTCCAGGGGGAAGGGCTGCGGTGGGACGGGGCTTATCTCTGCATTTTATACTTCAAGGTCAAGAGACAAAAGACAGACAGGGATCGTTACTTATTAATGACGATGGAGAACTGCCTGCACGCCCGTGCACGGAGGCAATGTGGAGTGGTGCCACGCACAGCCCCAGCCCACCCATTCACTGCTGGAGCTGCCTGTATGGTGGCAGCAAGGCTTTCTGCTCCCAACGCCTGTTTTTTGGATGAGGGATCCCACTGGGCCCCTCTGGCCAAAGTGAGTCCCTCGAGTCCTGGAGCCATTGCAGACTCTCCCCTACAACTGGAGTATGAATTGGGGGCTGGGGAGCTCCTCACTCTGCCCTGGCACCAGTACCTGTGGCTGCAGCTCCAGACACACGCAACATGGGGCAGAAGCCCCAGACCTTAGGCATGACCTAAGTGCAAGGCACTGTCAGCACCGCAGAGCATCCCACGGCCTGACTGAGTCCTCCCACAGGAGATTCACCCACCTTTGGGCAACAGTGCAGGAGCACGACGCTGCCCTGGCCACAGCGGGGGGCTGCAAGGTCACTGCAAGGTGACTGCGAAGATGGCACTAATTGTGTCCTCGCTGAGCAAGGGGCATTTCTGCAGGCAAATTTATGAGCCAAAGAGGAGGGGCCGCAGGTGCACCCAGTTCCATCACCCAGGGCTCTCATACAGGACAGAAGGAGTGGACACAGGTGAAGGAGGAGCCCAAGCAGAGGCTGAGAAGTCGGGGGTGGTGGAGGATGCTGCGACTCCTGGGTGCAGCCGGCAGCCTGCCCGGGGCCGTGCACAGGGAGGGCAGTGCTGGTCATGCTGTGTGAGTGTCTTAATAATGACACGGAGTAGAAGAGGGGCATCACCCCGGGAAGGGGCAGCCTCGCCGTCCTCCGCCCCGCCTAGCTGCTGTGGAAGATGCGGATGCGCTGTGCGA